CCAAACAAAGTTATCATGCCTGTACTAACCTATAAATGCGTTCTACTGTATATCACTCGCATGAGTGTTTGACCCCACACGGTGATCAAGTAGGTATTATGCTCGACTGCTGACCTGGAGGTCGCTGGATTGATTTCCGGTAGTGGCAACATTTCAGTTGAGGCGAAATGCTAGAGGACTGTGCACCTATATAAAGGTTGTCATTAAAGATTCACAGGCGGCCGAAATTTCCGAAGCCCTTCACTAAGACATCTTTCAAAATTATATTCTGGTTTTGGGACATAAAACACATTTATTATTATAATTACACTCAAACCACATTATAACAAAGTTGCATCCTACACGAAAATGAGCTCATTATATTTGAAAATTTGTTAAAAAGGTATACATATTTCCAATACTATACATTGCAAGACTATTTTTTATTTTCGTCGTTATTTCCAATATTTCGTTATATTGTGTTCATTATATCAAGGTTTGAGTGTACTACATGCGAGTGTTTCTGATTGTGTGTTGTGTCACCTGAAGCACCTTTTAATGCATATAATAATAGTAAAATAGAAGTGGACATGTGCAATCAGCTGAACTGGTTTGTAAAAACGTAATGAAACTCATTAAGGGTTTTTTTAAAGTAAAAACCAGTTGTAATACATGCTTGAAATGAAATATTTTAAGCTTGATGGAGGCTTGTATTCGCACTGCCCACAGACTATAGGTGGCGCCTCTTGCAACCCAAGATGGCTGCGGGAGGATGATCGGCCCGTGGACTCGCATAGGAAAAGAGGACACATGGATGTACTCCCCATGCCACTTTCATCAGATGAACTCTTCATCATCCAATGAATGTAAATCATACCAACGTACCTTCCCAAACGATAAAAACTACTAAATGTTCCCTACCTCATATCTTGCCACAGTGAGAAGGGTGGTGGTATCAGCGACCCCTTGCCTAATCGTGCGCATGCTACAGAAAACTGTGCCAACTTGAATTGAATTGAAGTATGAACTGAATGGCACTCCGAGATAGTTTGTGCCTAGCCTGACTGACAGATTCGCAGCAATAGTGGGCGACTAGCAAGCAGCGCGCCGTCGCTGGCTGCATGAGACCGAATGTTTAATGTACCAATGCTTTGCAAACATATTACGCCGTCACCATTACTTGCGTTGTAAGCACCATCTAGTTGCTTCTTCAATGGAACTACAATCATTTAACTTCCTTTTAAGCAGTGCTTGTGTTCTAGACTCTTACAGTGCGCGATTCACTGCATGCAGATGTTGCAGGATTCCATCAGCACGATCGCTACAACGATATGGAAACGAATACACGCATACGCTTTTTGCACCGTCAAAATTGTGAAAATTTGTCGAACGACAAGCAACATCATTCAGACCGTACCAATGAAGTACAGTGTGAGCAGAGAGACGTGGGCTGTAGTCGTAACTGTAGGTTTCATTGCTCTAACCAATTTGCAGCGCTGGTTGAGCTCGAGTGTGTTGGCGGCAAGCGGCGCTCCGTAATACCTACTGTAATTGGGCAGCATGCAATGCACAAGAAAAACTGTACCTTATTTTAAGCTTGCTGAGTGATATCATACAATTAATACAATAAAAGTGACTTACGAGCGGGAAACAAACATTAACCCTTTGCGGTCCATTGTCGGGCAGCACCCGACTACCCCACACCGCTGTCAAGTGTTTAGCGTGTTCCTCGTTTAACTTTCGCGACTTTCTCACTGCAAGTTGCGCACATTTTTTAAATACATAAAGCGCCATCTCTCGAGAAATGAGTGAGCTTCATTTGTTGGTGTTTACTCTTTTTACACTAGGATGCAGCACTGTGTTCAGGACAGAACCTAGAGCGTATCCACTCACAATTAGTTCGTTGAGAAGCATGGACACGTTTTCACCGCGTGCGTTTTACGGTGGCACTTTTAGCAAAAGGGAAGATGACTTTAGTGAGGAACAGAATTATATGCCCCCATCAGACAGTGGTGACAGTGAGTCAACCGATGTGAATGACGGCGGCGGCGGCGGACTGTTTTTTTTTGTGTGTCTGTTTACACACACAAGGGACCAGTGCGCGACCACGTGCTGCGGAATGGAAGGCTTTCTTGGATAATTCACTGCCTCATTTCACTCACTTTCTCTTCACTGTCATGAGCCCAGGATCACAAGTAAGCGCTTTCAATCACAACAATGAACTGGATTATTTTCAGCTGTTTTTTTACCGACCAGCTGATGGACAATATTGTGCATGAAACAAACGGCTATGCGCATGGAAAAATTTTGAGTGCTGGTGAGCTTCAAAGGAGTCAATTTGGAACCACTGGGAAGACGTAACTTTGACAGAATTCAAAGCTTTTCTTGGTATAATTATAAACATTGCCTTGAATTCAAAAGCGGAGCTGGAAGAGTATTTTAGCCAAGATATTGTAAACAAGATGCCTTTCTTGCCGCACGTCTTCTGCCGGAAGAGATTACTGCACATTTATTGGATGTTGCACGTTGCCCCATGCCTTGATGCCTCTTTAGGTCGGCGGCCGACTCGTGGAAGTGAAATCATAGACATTGTGCAAACATCGACGCAAAATGCCGAGAGCATTTCAGAGCCGACCCCAAGATTTGCATCGACGAGAGCACCGCTGTATTCAAGGGCCGTGTCTCTTTCAAATGCTACAATCCACAGAAGCTAACCAAATTGGGCATCTATATTTACGCACTTGCTGACTGCGGAACGGGGTACATTTCGGCATTTTAGCACTACTACGGCAGCACAACAACCGACAGTCTCTGCCGCCTTGAGCTGCCCTTCACCTGCCGGATTGTTCTGCACCTGCTCCAGAAAGTGTAGCAAGATACGCCTGGGAGTGGCTACCACCTCTACATTGACAGATTTTAGACTTTGCCAATGCTTGCCGAAAAGTTACTAAGACAGAATATATTATTGACGGGTACCGTGACGCCGAATCACAAGCAAATACCCACAGCAGGTCAAGAAGAAGCTAAAGAAATGTGAAGTGGTAGCTTACAGAAAAAGAGACTCCTACATTTTGCTTGCTTGGAGAGACAAACGTCAAGTCACCATGCTTAGTTCTGCCCACAATGTATGTATGAAAGAAGTCACAAGGACACAAGCAGGAGGAATATGTGACTACACAGAAAACATGGGTGCAGTTGACTGTGTGGATCATTACTGTGCGAGCTACGCAACTTGTAGCAAGACGATGAAATGGTGGCACATGCTTTTTTTCTAGATTCTGGAAGTTTTCATTGTCAACAGTTTTATTTTGAGGTGTATACAGCTGCAGATACACGGCCAGCATGAACAGTGATACCTGCAGTACTGCCGCAACCTCATCCAACAGCTTGTGGGTAACATGAGGGCTGGAGCCCGAAAATGGGGCCCGTCAGCACGGAACGATTGTGAAGAAAGGCTAGATAGAAGGAGCCACTTCATCTACAAGCTCCCAGCGCGAAGCAGCAAGGACTACGTCATTTTTAGCAATAGGCAAACAAAACGAACCAGGAGGGAAACTGTGTTTTTTTGCAAAACCTGCAGTAACAACCCTGGCCTGCTTCCAGGAGAATGCTTTGAGTGGTATCACATGCTGCCTAAATATCGCAAAAGGGGTTGCCTGTAGAATGCAAGAGCAAAAATAAATATCCTATGAGTTTTTCTTCCGCAGTTTGTGTTTTCTCGTGGCACCAGAAACTGGCAAAATAGTTTCGGACCGGTAGAAGTGGAAAGTCAGTAAAAGTTTTGGACCGCAAAGGGTTAACGCACAAGGGGACGTGAAGTGCACCTTGCTGCTCGTAAGCTAGCGGCTGGTCGTTAATTGTCGCTGTCACTCTGGGTGCGTTCTACGTTCAGTGAAAATCCTCCACGTCAAGACGGTTTTTTTGTTTGAACATCACTGCCGAAAGGAATCTGAGAAATTTTCCCCGCTTAGTGACTTCAATAACATCAATAAGGCATCACTCACCACGCACAATACCAACATGGTGTCACTCACCATGTTTTTCTGGGTGCGGAGAACAATTCGCACCGACACCAGTGCTGACACTTAGCAAGAAGTGAATTGCTTGCAGTGTGCTGCCTAAAAATCAATCCGCACAGCATTCGCCAAGGTTTGGAAGAGCAAAGCGCGAGTCTGTGCTACTTTCCACGTACAATTATTGTTATGGGATTCACGCACTACAAAAGCATTGACGAATGCTATACGCACGTAAAATAAAGTGGGTTTCAACTGAAAAGTCAGATGAGGACATTTAACTACTCAATGTGGCTGCAGAAAATTTTGTGAAGCTGATATGTGTATTCGGTGGGCTATGAATGAACGCATGAGTTGCCACGTATTTTCACGAAAACTTCGCATCTCGCAAGAACGAATCAGATGCATCGCGTCACGGACGGTCCGGTATATTCACTGATCACGTCAATTATGCACCAAACATACAAACTGGTTTTTGTTCGTTTCTTGCTAACGCATTAACGCTGAGGCTAGCACAGTTGAACAAGGGCGTGTCTCTCTATTATCATTATTGAGAGGACGCTCCTGAATTCCACTAGGCGGCGCGACAGTCTATGAACATTGCGAATAGTAAAGGATGAACAGGGTTCCCACACTAGCAAAGTGCTAGTGTGGGAACCAAAGCGTATTTTTTTTGTACTCATTGGACTTGCACTTTTTATGTAGTTGGGTGTACCTGTTTATATAAAATGTGCCTTTATGCCCACTTAGTGTCAAAAGATGTGCTCGCATTACTTAAAACGTGCAGAATTATTGAAGAAAAGGTAAGAAGAGAGCGTCCTGGATTCCATGCCACATTTTCTGAGGCCATAGGTTAAAATAAGAGGCTCGACAGGACCAAATAAACACATTTCCTTTTTTTACAAGATTACTGAACAATTTCTCCTGGTATTCTTATCATGCACATTGCAGCAGAGTGTAGTGAGAAAGTGATTCTTCTTTTTACTGATCTGTATTTGATATTCGCAGATCCAGCATGGAAACCCACCATACCTAAAGTGGATCTCTGAAGTTGTGCCTGAGGCAGGTGATGGAAGTGTGAAGCCAGATGAAGGCCAGGCGAAGTGAGCCAAACAATGAGCTGGAATGCCTCAGCAACTGAATAATTTGCAAGCATGAATAAAAATGTTCTGTTTGGCAGTACTTCTACTCATTTCTACGGTGTAGTCAGTTCAGTTCTTTACATCTAAAAATTGATTTCTGTGAAAGCCAAGTAGACTATAGTATTAATTTTAGGCTTAGGCAAGCATTCAAATCTTCGATAATTCGAACGAATAATAGAGTATTCGAATTCATTTTGAATTGAAATTAAATTATTGAAAACTTCAAATTATTCGAGACGAACGAATATGTTCATATTAATCAGCATGTAACTTCCTGTAAAAGTCGTTTCACTGCAGTGGAGTGGTGCTAAGCAGTGAAAGAACTTATTCAAGTATATATTAGTTCACATGTAACTTATTCTAAAAGAGGTTGTCGTAGGCAGAGATCTATCGTGGATGAGACACGTCATAGTGCTTCAGTAAAAATTGAAGAGCTTTGTTCTCGTTCATCGCAACATGGCAAGAGCAAGCTGGGGTACATCAGAATCATCGCTACTCCAATAGTACAATGCTCTATTTGTGGGATACCTACGATACAGCATGCCGGTGCTCTCTAATATGAGATCTAGTTGTGTGAAGATGCTAGAGAGCATTCAAGGTCAAAGCTTGCGAAGATGCTTGGGCCTACCGCGCTTTACTTTCAACAAATGCAACCATCGTGAAGGCTCGGGCTTGTCCCATTGGTGTATACATGCTCTGCGAGCCACTCGGAGTTCACCTTCGATTGTTGAGCTGACACAAGCAGCACCCACTATCGGCACTCCCTGCCAGCCATCCAGACTGCATTTTCTCAAGAACGATATTGTGGCATGTGAATATTCTATCATAAAAGTTTTTCTTACAAAGTGTTCCTTCAGTGCTTCCATGGATGCTGCCTAAACTACCTGTTAATCTTACGATTCCTGGGATTACGAAGAAGTTCCTCATTTCTTCTATTGGCCTCAGACAACAGATCCTACATCACATTTATGAATCGTACGGCGATTTTCTGCTCGTGTACACAGAAGGGTCTACCACACTACGTAACTCCGCCGCAGGCTTTGCCATCCCAGACATGGATATTGCTTGACGATTCAAGGTAGACCATAGAACAACATCAACTGCCGCAAAGCTTGTCGCTATCTAGGAGGCACTATTATTTATTTCTGCAGAGCAACCAAGAGCCTGGACAATTTTCTGTGATGTTAAATTCACTTTGCAAACCATTAATTGCATCCTGAGGCAAGGTTCCGTAATACATCTTGGCTATAGAAATTGCAGCACTTATTTAGGTTTCTTCAACAAATGGACATCATCTTTCTAATGGATTCCCGCACACTGCGGCATGATGGGAAGTGAAGAGGTAGACGCTGAAGCTAAAACTGCCCTTAACAGTGCCTCTGAAGTACGCATTGTGATTTCACGAGCTGACATGAACACCCTGCTTTGCTGCTTGATGCATAGCTACACGCTTGAGCTCTGGACCAAACCATAATGGCAACACCGGCGACTTCACAAATGGGACCTGGAAATGAGGTTCCGCATGACCCCTCAATTGAAGCTACGCTTTGCCAGTACAACTCACTGCATTCGTCTTGGTGTGGCGTACACAAGAGGTTACGCACATATCATCGGCCGCAATGACACCGGTCCCAATTGTGAACACTGTTATGTGCCACAAACACTTGAGCACATACTTTGTGATTGCCCAGCATACGCACGTGAATGACAAACTGATTTCTTTTCATGAACGATTTCACTGTAGGTCATCAACTGATGAAACCATGTTGGGCCCTTTGCCTGACTACAAACATTGCAACTGTGGTCGTAAGAGCGCTTATAGTCTTTTTAAAAGCAACTGGAGTATATGCACAGCTATAAAACTTTCTCAGCTGGAAAGGATTGTATATAGTCACCACTCTCACCATCGTCATGCATTACTCCTTTTCCTCCCCTTGCTCCTCTCCCGGTGTAGAGTAGCAGGCTAGAGCATGCTATCGATCAGGCCGACCCCTCTGCCTTTCTTTAAATAAACTCGTTTCTCCGTCTCTGGCTTCAATGCTGTGAAATCGTGCTGAGCCGTGAAAACACGTGATCAGGAGAATTCTGCTCTGCCACAAAGCCCGACTTGGCGTTAAATGAAGATACTAACCCCACGTTAATTTTTTTTTCAGTTTAAAAGCTCGTTATGCTAACTTATATGCTCAAAGTATAGTAAATAATAAAGCTTAACATATTTTTAGGCTATCACTTGAATTCTACGGAAAGTCAAATCCTGCTACTATTTAAAGTTGTTTCCACTTCGTTTCACGCAAAAAATGGCATTTGCACTGGCCTTGTTTGCATTTTCAAAAAATATAGTGCAGGTTAGTTTGGTCATGACAAATATGACCCTCTTTGTATATAATATGTGATATACACACTATTCGATTCGATTCCAAGTTATTCGACCAAAATCACAATTCACTTCGAATTTGCTTCAGACATAAAATTCACTATTCACCCAAGCCTAAATAAATAGTTCAATGGGGTCACAAAATTTTTAGCAATGCAAACAAATTCAAGTCGCCACCAGCTGTGCTCCTATAAGCTGCTGACACAAGCTTGCAGATCGGTTCGTTCAGAAATGAGTCTTAAATATATAAAAATCAAGGGTTGTAGTCAATGATAGCTGTTCGTAATCAAGTTCCACAGTAAGGGACAGACAAAAGGAACACCCCGTAGCTTGGACAGTACTACGAGTTGCTTCTGAAATTGAGCGTATGTTATGAATGTTTGGGGCTCATCACAGCGGATGAAGTGGTGTTTTATTGTGATAGCAATTATATGGACACTCTCGGCTGGATTTTGCTATTCGGCGTCGATGTCATGCACTGTATATTTATACGTATCTATATATATATGAAGAGGCAAGAAAGAAAAAAATCCAGAAAAGAACACTCGGCGCACGGAATCGAACAGTGGGACTTCTGGGACCTCTGCGTCGGGTTAACCACAGCAGGCGTTAACCACTGAGCCACCCCGGAGCACATCCTTCACTGTTCAAATGGCAAGCTACTTATATCTACCACTTAACGCTGCTCAGGAACATCTCGAGACGGGGGGGGGGGATTGTGTTTTCAGCATTACCAGCAAGATGGTGCCATGAGTGCGCGTTGCCATATCGCGTGACAGCTGACAGCACCGGCTACGGTACTACTTTGCCTCGCTTAGAGAAGGGAAGCACTGCTCCCTCACGGGCGCTTATCTCGCTGCAACGAGGAGGGGAAGGTCCTGCGCCTTGGCTGGCCTCGGGCTTTACCTGGAACGATTCTGCTGTAGAGACAGGGTGCACAAAGGTCACTGCAATCATTGCAGTCTCCATTTGCGAAAAGTGCGTGCTTTTCACACAGTAAAGTAACAAATGAGATGCTTGTTTGCGTGCATCCGTACCTGTGAGTATATTCTGTGCGTCATTTGTGCGTGAGGAACGCGGGGCATGTTTTGATTCGCTTTCCATTCTGCGTGTGACCTTTCAATTTGTCACTATCGCGTTCATTGCTTCACCTTTCTGGCAAAGCTGTGACTTTTCTCACAAAATGCAATGCTTCACTGCCTGAATACCAATGGGTCCGAGCACAATTTCTACCGTGTGGGGTGCACTATTAGCTCTGGTGTTAACAACCAGCTGGCTCAACTGGCTCCCAAGTGACATCAAGAAACAACAGAATCTTCCTTTTTTTGCACTTTCCTAATAAAGCATCTATGTTTAGATCAAAGGGTGATGCAAATGTCTGTATAAATTATGGTCTATGTTTAACCATGGATGAACTAGTAAGGAGTATTATATTGGTATGGTAATATTATGGAGGAACAAGGAAACATGACAGCACCAGGTCTTGTCTGTTTCACATGTCTTCATTTATTGTCCTGAGCATGCTACATCTTTTTTCATCACACAGTTTCTGTGAACTAAGCAATTGAGGAGTAAAAGCTTTCTACCACCTTCACCATGACATTCAAATTTTTCATAACACAAGGAGGTTATACTAAAGCTTCTGGAGTAGCGGAGGTGCTCCATGGCTAACGCCAACTTGCCGCCACTTTTACCAGGGCAGATAGCGAATGGGTGCATTACACTATAGGTGGCTTTTGCATTTTTTTCTGTGCTAGTGGTGTTGAGTATAGTGCTTTAATTGAACAACACGATTTTGAAGATGTCTGTGTTCACTTTTTGTGATAATGGTGGGCTTTTGTGCAGCGTTTGGCTGTGCGAATCACGTGAAGCAAACACTAGGCATAATATTACATGTGTAAGTAGCTTCGCTCGCTCGCTTTCCTTCACAAATGTTTGTGACTACGAACACATTCTTGCATACAAAGATTTTATTTTTGTGTACGGGTGCCAAAGAGACACTTTCAATCATTTTTGTACATTTCAGGATCCCGAGGGATTCGCACAGTACATGGGAGCATGCGCTATGAGGCAAGAAGGTTGAGCGCCAAAAAAGAATGACGACTTATGTTCAGTACACATTGAAGTAGGTTGCTTTCACAAGGCAGGGAAATAATGAGGTGACAGGCCTATAACATTCCTACCGTGTTTGTCTTATTTCCAGCACACCTACAAAAGGCAGTATGGGAGTGTGCTTTGTACAAGAGAGAGCTTTGTTTTTGAAAGGTAATAAATGTAGCAGCGGCACTTTCTGAGATTTTGGGTTTCTTCGATATTTTCATGAGCACTGTGCTACAAATGCAGAATTTTCTCGTGTTTCGATATGCCAGTAAAAAACAGCTTTCCCTGAAGCACCTGTCATTGGGGAGCTCTCGAATAGCGCATGCAAAGCTTTGCCTTAGCAGTTTCGTGCCACTGTGCGTGCTTTGTATACACTAACCGCTTGTGGGCTTTTGTTAAGTGAGAGAAATAGAGGGTGACCGCAGTTAACACTAACATGGCATACGCTATTCAAAAACTCCCTATTCAGGCAGTTGCCGAAATCCTCCCTTCTCTCCCACAAACGACCCATTGCCTTCACCCTCAAAGCAGTGGATACAGGGCAAAAAGTGCATGAATTGGCGAACGAGG